CACTACTCTCAATCCAGCAACTCTTATGCCAATACCAGATTCAACTATGCCAGTGCATAACTGCATGCAAACACTAGAACTACAATATTCTTGCAGACCTGACCTTACTGACCAACCATGGCAGAATCCAGACTTTGAGTGGTTCACTGATGGATCTAGCTATATGGATCAGGGCATTAGATACTCTGGGTATGCAATTATTTCTCAAACTGCAACTGTAGAGTCAGCACAACTACCCAGCCAAGCAAGTGCACAATTTGCAGAATTGTATGGTCTAACACGAGCATTGGAAATAGCTGCAGGAATGATTTTAAATGTGTATATAGACAGCAAATATGAATTTTTAACAATTCACGCACACGCAGCCATCTACAAAGAAAGGGGATATTTGGACTCCACAGGCAAGACTATCCAATATGCCACCTTGATTAAAAGACTTATTAAGGCAGCACAGTTACCGTCTAAAGTTGCAATCATCCATTGTCCTGGACATCTAAAAGACTCAAGCCTTATTACACAGGGGAATAGGAAGGCAGACAAAGAAGCCAAAAGAGCAGCTTTAGAAGGCACCCCCCCCCTACAGTCAGATGTCACCAGGTTCATGTATTTAGACACTTACTTGGAAAAACTTGATCCTACATATACTAAAGAGGAAAGCCAAAAGTTAAAGCAGGATGTACAAGCCGAACTAATTAAAGGCTGGTACACCCTTCCCAATGGACGCATTGCTATTCCTCTTGCACTTGCCCGCCCACTTATTTTTCAGGCTCATAAACAACATCATTTGGGGAATACTGCATTATTACAGCAACTTGAAAGATTTTTCTATCTTCCTTTTGCTTCTTCACTAACAGCACAAGTATGTTCTCAATGTTCCATTTGTGCTCAAACCAATGCTCACCAAGGACCAATAGTACCACCTGGTCAACAACCAATTGCTTATTTCCCAATGGACTATGTCATTATTGACTTTACTGATATGCCTAGGAGTAAGAAATATGTAGCCCTGCTAGTTATTATTGATACCTCCTCAGGTTGGATTGAAGCCTTTCCTACTGCTAATAAGAAAGCTATACAGGTTGCCAGAATCTTTCTTAAGGAAATTATTCCTAGATTTGGTTGCCCTTCTAAGATTTCATCAGATAATGGTCCTGAGTTCGTACATCAGATTAACAAGGCTCTAACCCAAGCTTTAGGAATTAAGTGGAGATTTCATTGTGCTTTTCGCCCTCAATAAGCTGGAAAAGTGGAAAGGGCTAATCGCACAATTAAAAGCCTTATTACTAAATTTTGTTTGGAAACTCATCTCCACTGGCCAGACGTTTTGCCTATGGTTTTGTATGCAATCAGACTGCCCCCCCCCCGCACTAAGTTGCAACTTAGTCCTTATGAGCTCATGTTTGGCCGTCCCCCTTGTCTATTTAAACCTGACAGTCGGGGCTGGCCAGACCTGGCTCATAAGGGGGGAATAGACCAACAAAAACTGTTACACCAGTTACAGCTTCATAATTTAGCTGTTTCAAATTTGCGCCATTATATGTACCTTGTTGTTGGGGGAGGTCACCAGTGCCGTTGTGTACCCAAGTTTGGTCCTCTATCCCATACCCACTTTGTAACCTTTAGTCTAGGGAATTCGGGTTCTACCTTTCCTGGCATATGACAACAGTACACAAGAGGTAACCGTCACTTTTGGATGGAAGGAAAGTCCTGGATCCATTGGACCAGATTGAAAACAGCTGTACCTGCTGATCCAGTAACTTACAAGGTGAATAAAACTGATAAACCTTTAGTGCTGAAATTTACAAGAAATACACTGTCGAACCCTACCGGGAACGGGTTCTCAACACACGGTGTGAACATCAGACCTTGCTGAGACACTCCGGAAGCTGTCTCTCTACACACGGTGGAAGACATGAGGATTCTACAGATCATAATACCTGTTGGTTATTTAATATGGGGAATATACACACACATTCCTACACAAATCAGTGCAATGGTTACACAAGAGGTCATACTGCAGAAACCTGCTAATAGAAAACTAGTGAGTACACACAAAGAAAGGACACAAACACAGGGAAATAAATATTGTCAAAACTGCATCAAGATAACAAGGAAGCCAGATAACTAAGACTTTGATTTACTATACAATGAAACCAGAAGGGTGCCAATATAGCTCACCTAACACCTGTGCATACAATAGAACTACATATAAAGTTTGTAGAAAAGGAGCCCAAGATCAGTGTTATAAACCGAAGCCTGATCCTGACAGTTGGGCCTTACAAATCCGAACACATAGAACAAGAACCAGCTCTAAAGACCAGGCACTATTAGGGATCTCTCAATGGAAATCCAACCCACACTCCAGTTTTAGCATTGCCTTTGATGTTTGTAAAGCAGCTAATTATTGGGCCGTAATGTATGGTTGCGGAGGGATCAATCGAATCCACAACTATATCCCAAACCATAAGTATTTGTGCCCACCAGATGGGTGTGCAGTCTCCACGGTCAAATGTAAGTGGTGGCCATGTATTAAGTGGCATACTCAAGACCCAAAGGAGATGGAGCACATCTTGTTTGAAAAGAAAAATACAACAGCAGACTCCTGTGGAAGGGATAACTGTAATTTGGTGACTCTCACAGTCAAAAATGGCGGTTCCTAGAACAAAATAGATGGGAAAAACGAAATTGGATGTTTGGAATAGGAATAGATGCCGATGGCTATGATCCAATATCAAAGGTAGAAATCAAAATCATAACTGCAACCAAAAGATCAGAACAAAAATCATTATTTTGGTCATATTATGAAGAAATGGAAAAACCAAATATTCCTGAAATACCTAGACAAGTAACCAATACCTTTGTCAAGATAGCTGAAGATATTGCTCATACTTTAAACATGTCCAACTGTTTTGTGTGTGGTGGGACAAATATGGGAGAAAAATGGCCATGGGAGGCACAAGAGTTAAATTATACCAAGGTACTAGAAATGTCTAAAAATAGTAGTTTAACCTACATGAGCGGGAAAGATGGTGATTGGTCTCTCACTTCCAACTTGGTAGGACATGTATGTTACTCAAGGAACAAAACAGAATCTTGCATAGCAGTAGGTAACCTCCTATGCACAGGGATTTGGGAAAACGGTAGATGGTGGTCTGGAACCATCGAAACCACTACTATGGATCATTATGCCCTTACTAACGTATCTGGAATGCCATATCTAAAAGATCCCACAAATACCAGTCTTCCTTGGCTAGCTCCGGATGGAATGTACTGGATTTGCGGAACAATGGCATACGGACAATTATCTAAGAACTGGTGTGGATCTTGTGTATTGGGAATAATGCGACCTGGATTTTTCCTGTTACCATTAAAAACAAAGCAAATTCTTGGTGTTCCCATCTATGATGAAATTGGCAATGTAAAACAAAAAAGGGAACCAAGTGCATACACCCAATGCGCAGGAATCACTTGGCAAGAAAATGAATGACTACCTTGCCACATCATCCTAGTTTATGGCCCAGCTACACGGGCTGAGGATGGGATGTATGGATACCGTACCCCTATTTACATGATCAACAGAATCATTAGATTACAAGCAATGGTAGAGTTAATTACCATTGAGACTGTGAAAGGACTAACTGAATTGGCCAAAGAAAATGTGAAATCCAGGACATATATTATGCAAAATAGGTTAGCCTTGGATTATCTGTTGGCCAAAGAAGGAGGAGTATGTGGAAAATTCAACCTAACAAACTGTTGCATCGAAATAGATGCAAGTGGAAAAGTGCTGAAAGACATAACAGACAGAATGGTCAAACTAGCTCATGTTCCAGTACAAACCTGGAATGGATTTAATTTAGAAGACATGTTTTCAGGATGGTGGCCAAAGTTACCAGGCCTACAAACCATCATAGTTATAGCAATATTGTTAATTCTAGGATGTATTTTGATTCCCTGCTTACTCCCTTGTGTTATAGCAATGCCTTAAAATTGTCAAGGTTGAGAAACACTGCGGCTTAAAGTAACAAACCTTCCAACTGCAAATAATATCTGATGGTAATGTGTACATTAACACATTTTTTTATTTTACATACATAAACACAGGCACACATCCCTGCCAGTCTCAGACTAGACGTAAAGGCAAGGATTAGGGCCGTCCGTTTAGCTTGGCTAAACGGACAGCCCTAAGATAAGGCTGCGAAAGCAGGCAAGGAATTCAGCAACTGTTTTAATCATAATTAATCCTAGAGTTCTAGCCATTCCTCCCTTGCCTCCAAATGCTAAAACCCTTTAAGCGCTTAGAAAAAAAAAGATTGTAAAATCAAGGTTACGCTAAAGAGCCAAGAGAGGGCAACTCAACGAATCTTGACCTCCATACAGTGGTCTGAGAGGAGGGAGGAAGGACAACATGCCTCACCTCGCGGGGCACCCACCACTGCTTCTTTGGCCAAGCAGCCAGCAATCACCGGCGTCGGTCTCCCTTTCGATTGGCTGAAGGGAGGCAATTAGGACCGCCTCTCTCTAATCTGCGCATTTTTCTCTCCGCGCGCTCCAGGGACTGCCAGAGCAACAGCCAGCAAGAAGCTAGTGAGTAGCGGCGGCGTGAGGCGGAATGTTTTCTGTTGCTATAGGAGCAGGGATTGTTTGTTGTTACAGCTAGTTGAGGACCACCGCCCCCTCCTCTTCGCTGGTGCTACTCGTTTCACTTCGAACTTTCCAGCCAGCGAGAAGGCACTGAGCGCGAGAGGTTTTGTCACCTCTTCCCCGACCCCAGGCGCGACCAGGGACACGGACGACGGTAATGGCGGTGGATGTTGGTGTTGGGCGTGTCAGCGAATGCGTTTGCCTCCAGTAATCCTTGATACACTTTTTGCTGGTCAGATGATAATCTAATTCACAATAAAGTACAGTATAATATACAGTACAGCTTTCTCATTATTTTGTCACGTGGGGCCCGCCCTTTCGGGGTCAGGAAAAGAGTTCATTTTTTCCTCACAACATGCTTGCGAGGTAGGCAACCTGGCCTTCTGAGAATGCCTAACGCTAAAAACATTGGGTCGGAAGTGACCCAACGGTATGCCCTTGATTCTGATGTCAAATAACACGAGGAGAGGATTTTCTTTTACAGAAATAATACTGGTGAGAGTTGATGGGATAAAAACGGGGAACTTTAGAGATTGTGCGTTTTTTGGTGTCTTTTTTCTCTCCGCACCCCTACTTCTTTTACTTTTTATCTGGGAAAATATTAGCGCGTAAGATTTTATTGATATATTAAATTAATGGTGAGCTGTTGAATATCTGCTTTATCATCTACTACAAGCAAAACTCCATTTCTGTTTCCTGCCTTCCATCTGTATTACGAATAGTAGGAGAGTGTGTTGTGTGCAAATAACGACAGCAAGGATGAAAGTGTGAGGATTGTGCTCTGTTGCCCATTGTCTAGTAAACCATTTGGGCATTAAAGTTCCATCCAAATACTGGATTCTGGCTGATTATTACCCACTTAGAAAGACGTCTAACTAAAATTACCAATAGGTCTTTAGTTCAGTATTAAAAAGAAGATTAGAGTAAATTGCTGAGGTACATACCAGAAGATAATCTAATGACTTTAAAGGAAAAAAACCTGCATTTATTCCCATAGGGCAGAGAACATGATGTTTGATGAAATGCAAAATGTTTAATTTAAACTTTTTGCACTGCACAGGTATGAGAAATACAAATAAAGAGTCATGTGAACCCACAAATCGATATGCACCATGTGGCAAGTACACTGTTTATATTCATGTGATTTTTTTTAAATGGGAAGACTATCTGAATTGTAGCCCATTATCCTAGGATAGCTTATATTTAAATTAATGTTAATATTGTTATCATAAGGTATACAGTATTGAGTAAAATATACTCAATAAACTGAACATTTCAGATCCCAATTTACACCTTTGTTAATCCAATGGGAATAAGAATATACAGAAAATGACAGTTATAGCAACAAATTCCTATGGAGATTCCATGTGGAAAGCGCTAATGAGATATAAAATCTTTACAAAATTTAAAGTCTTTATTTTTTTTCTTTTGCTTTTACTAGGGAACTAATAATGAAAATTTGGGAGAAAGTTAAATATGTGCAATACTTAACAGCTACGTATTTTTCCTGTTATTGATTTACTTATATTTAAAATTTTATTAGTTTGCATTTATGATATAATAAACATTCCATTATATATTTTCTCAGAAATAAAGTATACCCTGCTTAATGTGGCTAACTCTCAAGTAGTTTTACATAGATGCTTTTGTTTTGAATAAATGGCATTGTGTTGTTGAAAGAAAAATCTTCATCAGGGTATCGTCCAAGCCAGGAATAAACAAAATGGAGATTGCTTCAGGAACGAAGGTTCTTGTTTATTGAGTTGCAGAATCAGACGGAAATATGGCTCTGGGGCAGCTGACCACATGGAGCTGAGAGTGGTGTTTTTTTTTTGTTTTTTTTTTAACTTTCTTGGGCTTTTGTGTTTGGAGTTGTTCCTGTTCCTGTGGCATGAACTTTGACCTGAGGTTCAGTTTGCCCTTTTGGTATTCTAATGGTGGTGTGTTAATCCTATTATATCCTAAAGGCCATGTCCTGCTTCCCTGGGGCTGTGGCTGATGGTTATGTCCTGTGTTGGATTTTTGGGTGAGGTGTTGCTGGTTCTAAATCTATTACTCTGCTATTGTTAGCTATCAGTTTTGCTTCAAGGGATTTCAAAATATTTTGAATGGACTTCTGCCTGCTAGTATTTGCTTATGAATGAGACCGCAGTGTTTCTGAATGGGATTATCAAATCTGCATTTCTACAGAGCTGGCCTGCTTAGTTTCTGCTTGGGGCTGTTAAGATAAATTGGGCCTTGGGGGATTAACAGAGGCATTTAAAATTGAAAAAGGTACAAGACAGGGATGTCCATTATCGCCATTGTTGTTTGTTTTAACATTGGAGATTCTACTGATCAAAATTCGTGAATCAACTATAATAAAGGGAATAAAAATAAAACAGAATGATTATAGGTTGAGAGCTTTTGCGGATGACTTGGTTGTGACATTATCTCAACCGATTCAATCTGTTATAGACTTAATGGAAATTATAACTCAGTATGGGAAAGTTTCTGGTTTTAAGGTAAATAATAATAAGACTAAAATATTAGCTAAAAATATGATTATGAAGGAAAAGGAAATGTTAGTTAAATTGACAGGTTTTGAAATAGTGAAAAAGGTTAAATATCTGGGAGTATATATTACAGCTTCTAATGTAAAATTGTATA